CGAGGGGGCCCGCGCCCGCCCGCCCTCCCTCCCGCCGGCCGCACCCGGCTCCGCGCCCGCCCGGCCCGGCCTAGGCCCGCGACCCCGGGCGGCCTGGCACTCCCGGCCTCACCGCCCCCACGGCCTCCTGCAGCAGCGCCCCGAGCCGGCTCAGCATGATGGCGCCCGGCCCCCCGGCTCCTGGGCGAAGGCGTCGGCGGCGGCGCTCTAGGCGGAGGAGGCAGCCCCTTGGCCTCGGCGGCCCCGGCGCGGCAAGGGAGGCGGGGCCCGGCGGCTCCGCCCCTTCCCGGCCCGGCTGCGTGGCGCTGGCTAAGCCGGGCTGGGGGCGCCAGGTCGGGCCGGGGAAGGGGGTTGGGGACCGCCAGCGGTGGGCCCTGAGAGTTGGCTGGGAGGGTTTTTTTTTTTTCTTTCTTTCCTTTCTTTCGAGACAGGGTCTCGCTTGGTTGCCCAGACTGGAGTGTAGTGGCGCGATCTCTGGTTATTGCAGCCTCCAACTCCTGGACTCTTGCGATCCTCCAACCCTGGCCTCCAGAGTAGCTGGGACCGCAGGCACGCCACCACGCCTGGCCAATTGTTGTTGTTGTTGTTGTTTTTCCTGGGAGGGGAGGTCTCACTATGCTGCCTAGGCTGATCTGAGCTTCTGGCCTCAAGCGACCCTCCTGCCAGTGCCTCCTGAGTAGCTGGGATTAAGGCAGGAGCTAAGGGGGGTGTTTTCGAGGAGGAATTACAATTCCTCCTGAATTGAAGTCTCAGGTAGCCCCAGGCACATGGGCTGATGAGCTCCTGCAATGTGCTGGTCCCAACCAAGATGTGCAATGCCAAGCACACCCCGATTTGGAAGATACAGTAAGAAAGGAAAGAAGGTGAAACTGCAATAATCATGGCTTATATTGATTACATATTGAAGTGACTGTTAGGTGTGTTGGGTTAAATAACGTATATTGTTAAAATTAATTTCACGTCTTGCTTTTTACTTTTTTGACATGGCTATCAGAAAGTTTATGGGCTGTGGGCATTGGCTCACACCTGTAATCCCAGTACTTTGGGAGGCCAAGGCGGGTTGATCACTTGAGGCCAGGAGTTTGAGACCAGCCTGGCCAATATGGTGAAACCTGTCTCTACTAAAAATACAGAAAATTAGCCAGGCGTGGTGGTAAGTACCTGTAGTCTCAGCTACTTGGGAAGCTAAGGTGGAAGAATCACTTGAACCCGGGAGGCGGAGGTTGCAGTGAGCCAAGATCATGCCACTGCACTCCAGCCCAGGCAACAGAGTGAGACCCCGTCTAAAAAAAAAAAAAGGAAGTTTCTGCAGCTAAGTGTGGTGGCTCAAGCCTGAAATCCTAGCACTTTAGGAGGCCAAGACTATTGACCAGCCTGGGCAACATAGCAAGATCCTGTCTCGACAAAAAAAAAAAAAAAAAAAATTAGCAAGGTGTGGTGGTATACGCCTGTAGTTCAAGCTACTTGGGAGGCTGAGGTGGGAGGAGGATCACTTGAACCCAGGAGTTCGAGGCTGCAATGAGCTATGATCGTGCCACTGCAGTCCAGACTGGGTGACAGCAAGATAGTGTCTCTAAAATAAACACAAACACAAAAAAATAGTGTCTCTGCTAATCACTGACATATGACGAAAGGGAAAGGACTCAGTTTCCCTCGGGAAGGAAGAATAGCCCCTGTCAGAATTATAGAACCTAGAGTTTTGGGGTCTCCGGCTTCACAGGACCCGCCTCACCTTTTAGGACCCATTCCCCAGTGGGGCTGAGGCACAGGAAATGCTGGCCTGCCCAGAGTGGGCTCTGTGCTGTGGTGTGGAGCCTGCAGTCCAGACTCTGAGCCAGGGTGGCCAGGGTCTGGGCCTCAGGCCCTAGGGAGGGCCAGGGTTCGGCCAAGTCCAGGCCGAGTGAGAATTGATTGGGACCTCAGTTCTCTGACAGGTGAGAGTTCCAGTCCAGTCTCTGCAGATTTCTAGGCCCACCTCCTCACAGGTAAAGGACACAGGCTGGATAGATCAAATCAGCTTGCTTCCCTTCAGCATGTCTCAGAGGACTCTAGGGGATAATGAAAGTACATCAGGAGTGCATAACCTTTTATTCGACTTAACTTTTTAAATGTTATTTTTAAAACTCTAATAAAGTCAGTGTACACACTACATGTGTTATATTCCAGAAGTATCAGAGACCGTGAATTTTATTAAATTTTATTAAATTTGGATGTCAGGTTAGCCCATTTAGGGGAAGATCTTTGAATGAAGCCTCTCCTATTAGCTTAAATGAAGACTTGAAGACGATTTCATGGTAAACTGTGTTTTATGTTTTGTTTTTTTTTTTTTTTTTGAGACGGAGTCTCGCACTGTCACCCAGGCTGGAGTGCAGTGGTGCGATCTCAGCTCACTGCAAGCTCCGCCTCCCGGGTTCATGCCATTCTCCTGCCTCAGCCTCACAAGTAGGTAGGACTACAGGTGCCTGCCACCACGCCCGGCTAATTTTTTGTATTAATTAGCACTTAGCTTGTATTAATTAGCATTGTATTAATTAGTATTAATTGTCACTGCAGCCTGGGTGACAAGAAACTCCGTCTCAAAAAAAAAAAAAAAAAAGCCATATAGTCAATGACTCTCAATGTGAAAGAATTTGCTCACACTTTAATTTTTTTATTTTTTATTTATGTGTGTGTTGTGGGGAGGAGGCACTGAGAGGCACTTCCTAAGGCTTTGTTTTAGGGACAGAGAGCTCCACTCTGAGCTGCTCTAAGTTTTTTTGTTGTTTGTTTTGTTTTTTTTTAGTAGAGATGGGTTTTCACCACGTTGGCCAGGCTGGCCTCAAACTCCTGACCCTCAGGGGATCCACCTGCCTTGGCTTCCCAAAGTGCTGGGATTACAGGCGTGAGCCACCGCGCCTAGCCTTTTTTTTTTTTTTTTTTTCTCATAGGTTATTGGAGAACAGGTGGTGTTTGGTTACATGAGTAAGTTCTTCAGTGATGATTTGTGAGATTTTGGTGCACCCATCACCCGAGCAGTATACACTGTACCCAATTTGTAGTCTTTTATCCCTCGACCCTTTCCCACCCTTTCCGCCTGAGTCCCCAGAGTCCATCGTGGGTTTTTGGTTTGTTTTTTGTGACAGAGTCTTGCTCTGTCGCCCAGGCTGGAGTGCAGTGGCATGATCTCGGCCCACTGCAACCTCCGCCTCCCAGGTTCAAGCGATTCTCGTGCCTCAGCCTCCTCAGTAGCTCGGATTACAGCGTGTGCCACCACGCCTAGTTAATTTTTTGTATTTTTAGTAGAGACGGGGTTTCGCCATGTTGCCCAGGCTGGTCTCGAACTTCTGAGCCTAGGCAATCCTCCCGTGTTGGCCTCCGAAAGTGCTAGGATTACAGGTGTGAGCCACTGTGCCTGGTCCTTTGTGACATTCTTATGCCTTTGAATTCTCATAACTTAGCTCCCACTTATGAGAACATATGATGTTTGGTTTTCCATTCCTGAGTTACTTCACTTAGAATAATAGTCTCCAATCTGATCCATGTTGCTACGAATACCATTAATTCATTCCTTTTTATGGCTAAGTAGTATCCCATCATATATATGCTCTAAATTCTCATGAACTGAAAATCCTTTAGGACCTAGGTTCAAACCTGCCCCTATTATATACGGTTCCCAAACCCTGTCTCCAGCACCCCTTAGGGTTCAATGACCTCGACATTTTCCCAAACAGCCTGGGAGCTCTTTGTGGACAAGGGGCATGCCAGCCTGGTCACTGCTGTGTTCCCCATGCTCAGAGCAGGGTAAGCCCCCCAGCAGTTTCTGAATGCCTAGTATTGGGTATGTGTGCAGAAACCATTTCTCTCTTTCTGCCCCTCCTAGTCTGCCCTCCTCTGCTTCTCCTTCACAGACAACAGTACCTATTGGGAAAGTCCTGGAAACCTGAATGCTGTCTCCGTTCTCCACTCGTTGGTTTCCTGCCGTGCTGGGCTTCAGAGGAAATGTCTCTGTCCCAACATTTTCTCGTTTGCTAAGAAGATGACAGTGATCTGTCCTGTTGACCTCATAGGTTTGCTGAAGGGATAAAATGATGTTGTGGATGCAACAGAACTCCTACAATGTAAAATAATCATTCACATTTGAGGGATTCTTATCCACTTTGCTTATTTCAGCCGCAGGGGCTAGGGACTCAACTAGGGGACTCAGGCCAGGCCCCAGCTCCAGTCTCAGGTTCACAAGTTGCGTACCCTCCAACTCACCTGGTCCCTCTTACTGCTTCTTCATGTGCCCACACATGGTTCTGCTCCAGCCAGGTGGGGGCGGCCCCTCTCCACATAAGCACCCACACCTGCAGGCAGTCCTCTTTCTGGTCTTTCCGTCCGTCAGATCTGCAGCACCTCTGCCCCCCCCCCCCCCACCGCAACATGCAATTCCCTGTCTATTCCCCTTCGGAGTCCTTGCCAAGTCAACCTAGACCAGATTCCCGTCTTCCTCCCTTGGCCTCCACTTGACTCGTCCTCCAACTGCCATTTCTCCATTCCTTAGTTGCCCCTGCCTGACTCTTGGGGATCAGCTCACCACACATTCACATCTGCTGACCTTTTCTGTGTTTGGCCTCCCCATTGAACCATGAGCACCCTGCCCCTTGGGAGGGACAACCATGTCCGATGTTGAGCTTGGCCACCAACGCAAGCACGTCGGGATTTGGTGGAGGGCTAGGGCAGTCTTTCCTCCCAGCCAGTTCTCTACCAGGCCCCTCCCTGAGGTGTGAGTTCCCTCTGGCCCCAAACTCAAGGGCTCCTGCCCCTATCACAGAGTCCCTGAAGGAGAGGCAGACAGGTCCGTCTAGACGGCCCCTGCTTCTGGGCCTGGGCTTGGAGGAAGAGTACTGAGGGACTGCGTCTCCACCCCTCCAGCCCTAGGTGGCCCCTGCGTTGGAACCCTGACTCCCAGGGCTTCCCTCCACCTGATATGGCTTGTCTCGTTCACCCAGGTCTGGTGGCTCATAAGGAAAAGACAGATGTAGGGACCCAATGCGACCTTTTAATTCCAAGCAGAGTCCCCTCCCCCAGCATGGTCACACACACAGTGGAAAGGGATGTCAGGGTCTGGGCAGAAGCAATACCCAGACCTGGGCAAAAATATAGATATCATTATATACACACGTGGACTGGAAAGAAGTCAAGCTGGGGGTGTAAGGTAGGGCAGGGGCAGGTGAGGAAAGCAGCTGGGGGGGCCCCAATAAATTACATTCTTGAGAGAGCATAGTGTGTGGGGGGTGCGTGGGTGTGGGTGAGAGCTGGTAGCCAGGACACTCCAAAATGTGCCAGGCCTGGCCTCTTGACCCCATCCAAGGGAGGCGGAAGGCCCAGCTTCTGCCCGGTGCCTGGCTTGGTGCTGGAATTCCCATTTCGTGGCCCGGAGGCAGGTGGAGGGCCAGGGTCATGTGTAGGCGGCATCTCCACCCTCAGCCCAGGCTTCTGGGGAAGCCGCAGGGCTGGAGCAAGAGGCTTTGAAGCTCGGGGGTTGCGAGCAGAGGTCAGGGCAAGCTGAAATTGGGAGGCGACCTCCCTGCCGGAGGCTGAGCTGGGGCCTGTTCCCACTAGAATCAGAGGAGCAGGAGGCTGCAGTGCGGGAAAGCTGTCAGGAGTGAGTGTGGGAGGGATGGGTGGGCGACACGAGAGCCTGGAGCTCTTTCTGCCTGGCCGCTTCCCACCCCTGCATCTTCCCTCCAGCTGTTCAAGACAGCCAACAGGCCTAACCACCAATGCCCCTCATTCCTCCTCACCCTCTGGGGTGAGGGGCGGGGAGATGGTGCAAACATGAACTCTGTGTGCCGGAACCCCGACTGGCTTTGCCCTGTGCAGGGAGGGTCAGGGACGAGAGCAGGAGGGCCCCAGGCTTGTGAGGGGGAAGAAAGTCCGTAGCTCACTGCCCGGGATTGCAGAGGTCTTGGCCCCCCCTCTACCTGAGGAAAGGAGCCCACCCTACTTCCACGCCACCTCCTGCCCCTCCCAACCCGCCGGGGAAGAGCCCTGAAGCAGCAGGGGCAAGGGGGCCGTCCCGGAGCAGGTGGGGGCCATCAGAACAGAGAGGCCTTCTTCTTGAGCTCATTCCGCTTCCACAGAGCCAGCTTGCCAAACTCTTCGGGGGACATGGCAAATACCCTTGAGAAGTCCTCGGCAGACAGATGCCTCTGCGTGGGGGAATCGGGCAGCTCAGCGTGGGGTGGGGGCTGTGCCCAGTGACCTAGGGGACACTCACTCAAAGAGGCCCCGGGTGTTCTCCCAGGCAGTAGAGTGCCCGTGGACAGCCCCGCACCCATCCAGGGCATCTTCCTTGCCTACCTCAAGCCGCATCCGATCCACCCCTGGTGGCAGCTTGGTTCGCCCCTTGTTGGTCACCACTAGCATTTCGTAGGGATAGATCTGGGAGTGGGGGGAGGGGCAATCTTAGGTTCATAGAATGTCCTGTCCTTTGACTCCCTAGGCCCCCCACATCAACCTGCAGAGGCCACTGGGGTTCATGCCATCTTGCCCTCTGTCTCCCCCAACTTCCCTGCCATCCCTCCCATCTTCGACACCAGGAAGACCCCGCAGCGCATTCCACTTGCCTGGCATCTCCCCAGCCTCCCGCCCCGCTATAGGCACTTGGGTCCCCTGCCCCTCACCTTCTGCTCCAGCACACAGGGCAGGGAGTTCCCCCGGTCCATCCTCCCCCTCTGGCCCTCTCCGTTCTGGGGAGACCAAAGCCGCAGTGAGCCAGAGTGGGGCAGGGAGACCTTCCCAGCCTTACCCCGACTTCTTCTTCTTCACCGGGCAACTCTGTGGCCCCACACCCCCCTTCCCCTGACACTTCCAGGCACCAGGACCCGGCTCCTGGTGCTCCGCCTGTTCCCCTCCAGGAGGCACTCACCTGCAGGCCTGTGGGAGAGAAGGGGTATGGTTCAGAGGCAGCTCTGAGGTCAGCAGGCCAACACATCTGACCTCACCAGACCCCTGCCCAGAGCCCAGACCCCGGATGCCCAGGGACCTGCGTAAGTCCCTTCCCCAGATGCCGGCACCAGGGCCCACTTCTCACCTGGGCTTCCAGTCTCACTCCCCGATGGGCTGAACTCTGTGGACTGTAACTAGAAAGGACACAAAGGAATCAGAGGCAGTTGGGGATATTCGCCTTTGGTCCCCTTCACTTTGGGGGCCTCCCCGCTCCCTGAGGGTACCCAAGTGGCTCAGTCTCTCAGCACCCCCATAGGCACGCCCCTCCCACATAGTCTGTATCTCCAGTCCCGAGGCCTTACCCGGCTCAGGGTGGTCCTGCCGTAGGCGGGGAGAGAGGAAGATTTAGACGTTCCCTGGTGCAAGGCTGGAAGAGAGCAAAAGGTCCTGGTTCAGTTCCTTTGGCCCTGACAGCCCTTTCTGAGAGAGCTCCCTCACGGGCCTTCCACACCTGGGGCAGGGCAGAAGGGGTCACGCTGGAGGGAACCTGGCAGGCTTCTGCTAGCTCCCAGCTCCGACTGGTCACCCTCAGCAAGCAACACAGTGCCCGCGATTCTCAGTTGTCTCTACCACCATCCCTCTTCTCTCCAACTAGAAGTGGCCCAAATATACAATTGGGCCCAATGCCTGATGTGAAAATTGAGTCAGCCGGAGCCAAGGCTCACATCAGAAAATGAACCTCTGGGATACACAAAGAAATCTAAAATTGAATCACAATAATTACATTATTATAATATTATTAACAATGTTAGTAATCAAATCTAAAATATATATATATATATTTTTTGGCCAGGCATGGTGGCTCATGCCTATAATCCCAGCACTTTGGGAGGCCAAGGTGGGCAGATCACCTGAGGCTGGGAGTTCAAGACCACCCTAACCAACATGGAGAAACCCTGTCTCTATGAAAAAATACACTGCACCTGGCCAAAAATTTTTGATAGAGATAGGGTCTCATTATGTTGCCCAGGCTGAACCTGAACTCCTGGACTCAAGTGATCCTCCTGCCTTTGCCTCCCTAGTACTGGGGCTACAGGCACGGGCCACCTGCTCAGCTAGTACTCGTATTTGTTTATTTATTTGTTTTTGAGATAGGGTCTCAGTCTGTCACCCAGGCTGAAGTACAGTGGTGTGATTATAGCTTAACTGTAGCCTCAACCTCCCAGGCTCAAGTGATTCTCCCATCTCAGCCTCCTCAGTAGCTGGGACTTGGGGCATACACCATCAAACCCAGCTAATTTTTTTTTTTTTGTAGAAACCAGGCCTCACTATGGTACCCAGGCTGGTCTTGAACTCCTGGGCTCAAGCAATCCTCCCACCTTGGCTTCCCAAAGTGCTGAGATTACAGGCGTGAGCCAACTAAGTAAATTTTAAAAGTCTGACATTATGCCGGGCTCTGTGGCTCACACCTGTAATCCCGGCACTTTGGGAAGCCAATGTGGGTGGATCATGAGGTCAGGAGATCGAGACCATCCTGGCTAACACGGTGAAATCCTGTCTCTACTAAAAATACAAAAACAAATTAGCCAGGCATGGTGGCAAGCGCCTGTAGTCCCAACTACTCTGAGCAGGAGAATGGCGTGAACCTGGGAGGCGGAGCTTGCAGTGAGCCAAGATCATGCCACTGCACTCCAGCCTGGGGCGACAGGGCGAGACTCCATCTCAAAAAAACAAAAACAGAAACAGACAAAAAAAAAAAAAAAAAAAAAAAAAGTCTGGCTGGGCGCGGTGGCTCAAGCCTGTAATCCCAGCACTTTGGGAGGCCAAGACGGGCGGATCACGAGGTCAGGAGATCGAGACCATCCCGGCTAACAAGGTGAAACCCCATCTCTACTAAAAAATACAAAAAACTAGCCAGGCGAGGTGGCGGGCGCCTGTAGTCCCAGCTACACGGGAGGCTGAGGCAGGAGAATGGCGTAAACCCAGGAGGCGGAGCTTGCAGTGAGCTGAGATCCGGCCACTGCACTCCAGCCTGGGTGACAGAGCGAGACTCCATCTCAAAAACAACAACAACAAAAAAAGTCTGGCATTATCCTACAGAAAGAGTCATGTTCTCAGTACTGTCACTGGGGTTTGTACCAGCAGTCAACAACTTCATGTCAGCATTACTGGACCTCAGTCTCAACTTGCACATTTAATAGGATCTCTCAGTTTTCAAGTATTGCAAATTGTAATTCAAGAAAATTTGTTTCCAGTAATGTTTTCCTAGAAATAACTTTGTACCTAAGATCCTCAGCTCGATGTGATCTCAAAATGCCTTCACCTCCAATTGCTAGAAATGGCTGGCATCTATACCAACTGTTTCCACAAGCATTTCTGTATAAATAGTTAACCTCCATAGATTCAAAACTATGAGGAACTATCTTAAAATATATACACATATATAAATATATATACACATATATAAATATATGTACATATAAATGTATATATATGTATATATATAAATATACATGTATACACACACACACACACACATATATATATTTTTTATATGGAGTCTCGCTCTGTTGCCCAGGCTGGAGTGCAGTGGTACAGTCTCGGCTCACCGCAACCTCTGCCTCCCAGGCTCAAGTGATTCTCCTGCCTCAGCTTCCCAAATAGCTGGGATTACAGGCACATGCCACCATGCCCCCCTAATTTGTGTATTTTTGTTAGAGACAGGGTTTCACCATGTTGTCCACGTTGCTCTTGAACTCCTGACCTCAGGTTATCCACCTGTCTCGGCCTCCCAAAGTGCTGGGATTACAGGCGTGAGCCACAGCACCCAGCCTTTTCTTAAAATATTCTTACGAAATCTGTGGCTTGGAAGGGTTCAATTATTGAGAACAAAACCTCATTTTTTTCCCCTAACACTTATTTTTATTTAGAAAATAGCTTTCACAATCACCATTCACTACAGAAGCATTTCACTCTTACAATAATAAGTATACATTTATTCAACCGACTGATAGAATTTCAACCTTCAAACCCTACACGAAGATTCTCCCCTCCAAATTACTTCTATCATAAAATGCTTACGTGTGTTCCACAGCGACTATTCCAGTGTCACCATTAAATCAGAATGACATGCCTGTTCATGATTCTTGAATTCAGGTTGTTTTAATATGACAGTAACCTACAGAGTCATGTGATCATTAATCACCCGCAAGTTCAGGGACGCCAAAGATGATCCCGAGGTAAGCATCTAGCTATTCAACTTCACAAGGCCGAAATGGAAGTTAAAGAGCTAACCTGGGCTGAATAGAAGATTCTGGCAGAACACTGACACTGAATCCAACCTTCACACATCCTCTGTCCACATCATTCTTCAGGCCTTAACTCTTTATTCCACATTCTCTAATAAACTTCTGTAGCTCTTCCCACCCACAGAGACAGCATCCTGAGAGCTCTGGGGAACACTCAGATGTCCTAACCACGTATTAACCTTGAGGTCCTTGAATTCCCCAGTTTCAGTGGTTTTCACCTCTGCTCCACGTGAGACAACCCTTTCAAAGGGTCACACCCAGGATCTTGTCATCAGCCGAACCACGATGCCTAGAAACTGTAAGCTTGGACCATTCACTTTGTGGCTTTGGCTCAGCTCCATCCCCACCACCCAGCCCGCCAACCTCATGGAGACCTCTAGTTTCTTCATTCACCTCCTACCTCCTCCACCGCCCACCTTCTGTCATTACCTTCTCCGCTTCGGCCCTGTAGCTGGGCACAGTAACCACTTTCATCGGCTCCTCCACGGTGCAGCCTGGCCCCTCAGCACCTATCCTTACAAAACGCTAAGCCAGGGTCAACCCAGCAGCTCCCATCCTGCCCCCAGCTGTGGACATACAGCCCACACAATGTAGATGAGCATCACTACAAAGGCCAAGCCTCACACATTTCTCCTCCCCTCCACGGCAGTTCCAAACCCTCGCCATTCTCACGAAGTCTCACCCACTAATGCTCAGCAGACAACCTCAGCTTCTCATCTGGCCTGCCCCTGGATCCAAGTTCCCAACCCCCAGGGGAGGCCTTTCAAGGCCAGCCTCCCTCACATTCTGGGGCTCGATCTCAACCAGCCCTCAAACCAGCCTATATATATATATATAAAAAATTAGAGACAGGGTCTCACTCTGTCACCCAGGCTGGATTGCAGTGACACGATCATAGCTCCCATCTCAGCCACCCAACTAGCTGAGACTACAGGCACACGCCACCACTCCCAACTAATTTTTCTAGTTTTTGTAGAGACAGGGTCTCACTATGTTGCCGAGGCTGATCTCAAATTCCTGACTTGAAGCAGTCCTCTCACCTCAGCCTTCCAAAGCGCTGGGATTACAGGCGTGAGCCCCGACTGGACCTCTAACGGAAGCCTTAGGCACCCTTCCCTTCTCTCTCTGTACAATCTCGCTTTCTCCTCGCTATTTTCCCGCCACATATAAGCAAGCTGAAGGTGCTCTACACGGGGCACTTCAAACCCCACATGTCCGAAACCAGTCTCTCATCTTGCCCTGAAACTCCGCCTCTCTTATTATCTCAGTTCCAAGTTGGCCATCACCTAGCACCCAAGACAAAAACCTCAACTCCTCCCTCTCGCACCTCCCACGTCCGATCAGCCACTGGATTCAACCCAGCAGATTCAGTTGTTTATATATTCTCAAATCCATTCCCTCGTCTCTGGACCCACATCTGTTTTTAGCCCTTATCCAGACTATTGGAGAGTGCGGTAGATTGTTTCCAAAGATGGCCTGTACCGTTGCCTCCCATCTTTCATGCTTTCTGCAATCAGACCTTGCGGTGCCTGTCATCAAGAATTACAGTCTTGGCTGGGCGCAGTGGCTCACGCCTGTAATCCCAGCACTTTGGGAGGCCGAGGTAGGAGGATTGCTTGAGCCCGGGAGTTCAAGACCAGCCTGGGCAACATGACGAAAACCCATCTCTACTAAAAATACCAAAATTAGGCCAGACGTGCTCACGCCTGTAATCCCAACACTTTGGGAGGCCAAGGCGGGTGGATCGCCTGAGGTCAGGAGTTTGAAAGCAGCCTGGCCAACATGGCGAAAACCCATCTCTACTAAAAATACAAAAATTATCTGGGCATGGTGGTGTGTGCCTGTAGTCCCAGGTACTCGAGAGGCTGGGGCAGGAGAATTGCTTGAACCAGGGAGACAGTGGTTGCAGTAAGCCAAGCACTGCACTCCAGCCTGGGCGACAGTGAGACTCTGTCTCAAAAAAAAAAAAAAAAAAAAAAAAAAAAAAAAAATTAGCTGGGCATGGTGGCATGCACCTGTAGTCCCAGCTACTCAGAAGGCCAAGGCAGGAGGATCACTCAAGCCCAGAAGATAGAGATTGCAGTCAGCCAAGATGGTGCCACTGCACTCCAGCCTGGGCAACAAAGCGAGACCCTGCCAAAAAAAAAGAAGAAAAAAAAAGGAAGTAGAAGAAGAAGGAGGAGAAGGAGAAGGAGAAGGAGAAGGAAAGTTTAGCTCCCCTCCCCTTGAGTCTAGGCGGCCAGTGACTGGCTTTGGCAGCTACAATGCAGAAGTGACACTATGTGGTTTCCTGTTAGGCTTTTTTTTTTTTTTTTTTTTTGAGATGGAGTCTCACTCTGTCACCTCGGCTGGAGTGCAGTGGCTTGATCTCGGCTCACTGCAACCTCCACCTCTCGGATTCAAGTGATTCTCCTGCCTCAGCCGCCTAAGTAGCTGGGATTATAGGCATGCGCCACCATGCCTGGCTAATTTTTGTATTTTTAGTAGAGATGGGGTTTCACCATGTTGGTCAGGCTGGTCTCGAACTCCTGACCTTGTTATCCGCCTGCCTCAGCCTCCCAAAGTGCTGGGATTACAGGCGTGAGCCACCATGCCGGGCCCCCTCTTAGGCTTTAAGAGTCTTCGCAGCTTCCATTCCTGGGTTTTCAGGTCTCTCCCTCTCCTCTCCAGTCGCCAAGCTCTGAGGAAGTCCAGGGTAGCGTGCTGGATAGTGGACCACGGCATTCAAAGCCTGCCCCGCTCCCCGTCTCTTGGCCTCACTGCCCACTGCCCCACAGTGTGCTCTGTGCTCTGTGATTCCAGACTCCTGGAGGCTCAGCCAGCCAGAGGTTTCATGTTTCAAATTTCACTCCCACACTATTCCCAATGTCTACGATGCCGTCTTCCACTCACTTTGTCTGGCTTGCTTGGAGTCTCAGCCTTCAAGACTCAGTTTAAGCTGGATATGGTGACTCACACCTGTAATCCCAACAGTTTGGGAGGCCAAGGCAGGATGATTGCTTGAGTCCAGAAGTTCAAGCCCAGTCTGGGCAACATTGTGAGACTTTGTTGCTACAGAAGATTTTAAAAATTGGCCAGGCATGGTGGCGCACACCTGTAATCCCAGCTACTCAGAAGGCTGAAGTGGGAGGACTGCTTGAGCCCGAGAAGTGGAGGTTGTAGTGACCTGAGACTGCACTACTGTATTCCAGCCTGGGCAACAGAGCAAGGCCCTGTCTCAATAAAACAAACAAGCAACAAACAGCAACAACAAAACCCCTTAGTTTAGCCTCCCAGGCCCTGTTGTTGTGCTCCTAAAGCACCCTGCACACCTTGATCACAATACCGGCCACACTGCACCGAAACCCCAGGTTCCATGACAGTTTCCCTGCTGACCACAAGCTACCAGAGGACAAGACTAGATTTTTTTCCCTGCTTATATGCCCAGTACCTAGCACATGGTAAACGCTCAATAAATGGTTGTCAATTAAACCAGACTTGCTGAATTCTGCTTTAGCCGATACTCTCATTTATCATCTGACATTGTTCCACGACTGGGAGTCTTGCTCCCAGGAGAGCAGCCATACTTTGGGTCAGGGATTGCATCCTGTATGTGTCATAAGTCAACAGACGCACAGAGTCAGGCCTCCATCTCTGGCCAGGTGACTCTGAGTCCCCTCCACAGCACTCACAGGTATGGAAGGGTGTCCGGTCAGGCAGGGAGCGGGTTTTCCTTCGGATTGGCAATGACTTTTCCATCTCTTCTTTCAAGATCATCTTTCCCAAGTTGGAAGTAACCTGAGGAGGGAGAAAGGAAGATGGAGCCAAGACGTAGACACTTGTTTCTTTCTTTTCTTTTTCTTTCTTTTTTTTTTTTTTTTTTTGAGAGAGGGTCTCACTCTGTCACCCAGGCTGGAGTTCAGTGGCACAAACATGGCTCACTGCAGCCTTGACCTCCTGGGCTCAAGCAATCCAACCTCCTCAGCCTCTTGAGGAGCTGGGACCACAGGCATGCACCACCACACCCAGCTAGCTAATTGTTTTTTTGTAGAGATGGGGTTTCACCATGTTGCCCAGCCTGGTCTCAAAATCCTGGGCTCAAGCGATCCTCTTGCCTTGGCCTCCCAAAGTGTTGGGATTACAGGTGTGAGCCACCGTGCTGGGCCAATACTCGTTTCTTATCTCCAAAAGGTCCAGAGTCGGGCATGCCGCCGGCAGGACTGGGGACATTTCCCAAGTGGCTAGTTCGTGCTCTGGAGCTCACGGAGCCTCTCATTCGTGACTGACACATGGCCACATTGGGTTTGGCCACCCTCGAGAGCCAGGTGTCCGAGCTGCTCGGTAGAACTCTACCACGGTGGCCTCCCTGTCCCTGTCCCAGGTCACCCTGCCCAGAGCCCAGGCCCATGTCACTGTCAATGGCTTTTCCATGGTTCTCCCTCCTCCCCTGGAGGCCCGTAGCCCATACTCTCCTTTTTGCTCTTCCCATGGATCACTCAGGCTGCTAGCGCCCAGCTCTGGTGGGACCATCCTTTTCTGTGCTTTTGATCCTAATATCAAGTAGTGTCCCCCAGAAAGCAGCATAAAGTTGAGGTGTCCCTTCAAAAGCAAAAACCTGGGGTCTTGGCAAGAAGACGTTCCCCCACATGTTCCAAAAAGTGTGCTTTTTGGGTAGGAGCCCCTTCGACTGGCTATGGAGCCAGAACTTCTGTCCACAGAAAGACACAGGGTGGGCTGGGCACAGTGGCTCACGCCTGTAACCCAAGCACTTTGGGAGGCCGAGGTGGGCAGATCACTTGAGGTCAGGAGTTCAAGACCAGCCTGGCCAACATGACAAAACCCTGTCTCTACTTAAAAAAAAAAAAAAAAAATTAGCTGGGTGAGGTGGTGGCGCACCCGTAATCCCAGCTACTCAGGAGGTTGAGGCAGGAGAATCACTTGAACCCGGGAGCAGAGGTTGTAGTGACCTGAGATAATGCCACTGCATACCAGCCTGGGCAACAGAACGAGACTCCTGCACATGGGTAGAGGGTGAGGGGTGGCGAGATGCTACCTTACTGAGTTCCTCTCTCTGACGCTCCCTGAGAGCCTTCATTTCCTCTCCAGAGTCGTCATCTTCCTCCTCCTCCTCTTCCTCTGCTCTCCTCCGAGACGCCTTCCGCTTCCTCCATTCTGTCTCTAGGAGACACAAGCAAAGGCAGGCAGGGAGTCACTCGCCATGGGGTCAGTGTGCATTTATGTGGCACAGCCTCTGGGCACTGCCCTGGGCTGGACCTTGATAAGACCACTACAAATTATTTTTTTAAAATAAAGTAGGGTGGGTAAGGTGACTGACACCTGTAATCCCAACACACTGGGAGGCTGAGGTGGGAGGATCGCTTGAGCCCAGGAGTTTGAGAACAGCCTGGGTAATATAGTCTCTATAGAAATTTATTTATTTATTTATTTATTTATTTATTTATTTATTTATTTATTTATTTTGAGATGGAGTCTCGCTCTGTCGCCCGGGCTGGAGTGCAGTGGCCGGATCTCAGCTCACTGCAAGCTCCGCCTCCCGGGTTTACGCCATTCTCCTGCCTCAGCCTCCCAAGTAACTGGGACTACAGGCGCCCGCCATCTCGCCCGGCTAGTTTTTTGTAATTTTTAGTAGAGATGGGGTTTCACCGTGTTCGCCAGGATGGTCTCGATCTCCTGACCTCGTGATCCGCCCGTCTCGGCCTCCCAAAGTGCTGGGATTACAGGCTTGAGCCACCGCGCCCGGCCTAGAAATTTATTTTTAAAAATTAGCCTGGTGTGGTAGGGCATGCCTGTAGTCCCAGCTACTGGGGACACTGAAGTAGGTGGATTGCTTGAGACCAGTAATTCGAGGCTGCAGTGAACTGTGATGGCGTTACTGCACTCCATCCTGGGCAACAGAGTGAGACCCCGTCTTAATAAATAAATAAATATTTAAAAATAAAAATAAAGTAACGCCTGGTACAGTGGCTCACGCTTGTAATTTCAGCACTTTGGGAGGCCGAGGTGGGTGGATCATTTGAGGTCAAGAGTTCGAGACCAGCCTGGCCAACATGGTGAAATCCCGTCTCTATTAAAAATATTAAAAATAGCCAGGTGTGGTGGTGGGCACCTGTAATCCTAGCTACTTGGGAGGCTGAAACAGGAAAATCGCTTGAACTCAGGAGGTGGAAGTTGCAGTGAGCTGAGATGGTGCCACTGTACTCTACCCTGGGCAACAGAGCAAGACTCCCTGTCTCAAAATTTAAAAATAGAGTCAGGCATGGAGGCTTATGCCTATAATCACAGCAGTTTGGGAGACTGAGGCGGGTGGATCACTTGAGGTCAGGAGTTCGAGACCAGCCTGGCCAACATGATGAAAACCTGTCCCTACTAAAAATACAAAAAATTAGCCAGGTGTGGTGGTGCATGCCTGTAATCCCAGCTACTTGGGAGGCTGAGGCAGGAAAAATGCTTGACTCAGGAGGTGGCGGTTGCCGTGAGCCAAGATCGTGCCACTTCTCCAGCCTGGGTGACAGAGTGAGACTCCATCTCAAAAATAAAATAAAATAAAAATAAAGTAAAATAAGAGTAACATTTTCTCACCTTGCCATGAGTCTGGGTAGGCAACACACACATATACACACTCACGACTGACATTCAGTGGGTGCAGCAACATGAATGGAACTGGAGGCCATTGTCTTAAGTCAAACAAAGACACAGAAAGACAAAGACTGCATGTTCTCACTCATGAGTGGGAGCTAAATAGCGTGTATGCCTGGATGTAGAGAGTGGGATGATGGCCCATGGTGACTCGGAAGGGTGTGGGGGGTGGTGATGGGAAATTGCTTAATGGATACAACGTGCACTATTCAGATAATAATACCATAAAAACCCTGACTTCACCACTGTGCAATCCATGCAGGTAACCAATTACACTTGTACCCCATAAATGTATACAAATAAAAATTAAAATAAAATTCACTGGGGACCAAACCCTCTATGATTTATCTGTCTGTTTCCCAGAGCTCCCATCACAGAGCCTGGGATGCAGAAAAAGTTTGATACATGTCTGTTGAGTCACTAAATAAATGAATGGGAAGTAAATGAATAACCAATAAAGAGGGTCACTCGCATCAGGCGCTATGGGAACACAAGAGTGGGTGAGCGACGAGCCTGGGGGCTCATGAAGGTGGGAAGAAGCCCAGAGGACACCATAGGGCAGGGGTGGGAGTGGGTTCGGCAGGAGCCAAGGGGAGGGAGTCCCAGACCTCCCATTCCCCTCTCCCCATCTCTCCTACCCACGACAGCCAGAGACGGGGGGCACGGCCAGTAGTCAGTTTCAATTTTGGCTGGCTGGTTGGGGTCCGGGGGCTGGGCTGCAGGGAACTTGGATGACTCGATGATGAGATCCTCGATGAGGTGCTTGGTCTGAGGGCTGCCTCCCACAGACTCTGCAGACAAAGACCAGGGTCAGCCAGGTGTGCCCTGCCCGAGGCCAACTTGGCTACCCTCACCCCTCCCTCTTCACACCTGTGAGGTCCTGCAGGTAAAAGCAGTGTACACACTGAGCACAGGGCACACGTGCTGCCGTGACCTGCTATCCTCCGGTCCCCCTCCAGCCAGCCCCCAGCCCCAGGGCACGGCCTCCCAGCAAGCAGCCGGAAGCGGGCTCTGGTGAGCCAGGGGCACCCTCACCTCTCTGCTTATAGATGGGTGGCTTCTTGTAGATGTTGGAATCTGGGCGGGAGGTCTCTGTGGGAGGAAGAAGAGATGAGGAGGAGGACATGCTGATGGCAGGGAGGCTGGGGCCAGGAGAATGGAGACGATGGACAAGGTGGGGAACTCATGGCCCCTGTCAAGAGCCAAGACAGGGCTGGCATTCCTGACACTGTCCCTCGGGGGTTTGGGACTTTTTACACTTTTCTGGCTGGGGGAGAGAGAAAAAGTGACAGGTCTCCCATCTTCGGGAGGGGTCCTGGCCTCCTGGGGTCTACTTAGGTCTGAGGCGAGCATATACCCCAGAGAGTGGGGGACTGAATGTAAGGGCACTGGGGTTCCTGATGGAGAAAGTCTTAGGAACCAATGCGGTCATGCCGAGAAGACCTACCAGGGTGGTGGAAATGGGGCAGGCTGGTCCGGGGAGTTCCAGTGGTTCTGGGGGCTGAAGCCTGAGAGATGATTCCAGGCGACCGGCTGTCCGCCCACACCTGCAGAGCAGAAGCGTGTGGCTCCAGGCCCCCCAACCCCCTCCAACCCACACATGCACCCCCCGTCAGCTCACACCACCCTTTCTATCCTCCCATCCTGGCAGGCTGCAGCCCTCCAAACCCAGGGCAATGTTGTGGCACAGTTCCAAGGACCTACTGATGGTGCCTGGCCCAGGGAGAAAGGGTTGAATGAGGTCCTGGGTCCGACAGAATGATGGACACAGAGCTGGCCAGTGACAGCCAGGGCGCCGCTGATTCAGGCACTCCCTGGGCTCTGCAGAGCTCAGTCTGATGTGTGAGGGGAGGGAGTTAGGATTCCCTTCAGGGCAGGGCAGGGCAAGTTGCAGGTGTGGGGCAGACTCACCTCCGGGGATGGTGGGGGGGATGTGGATTTGGGTGACAGCGAGCGCTGTGAATGGAGAGGGGGCTGGTCAGAGCTACAGGGGCAGATTCAGCCTCTTCCCTAGAATGCCAGAGAGGCCACCTCATCCCCCACCCAATGCTGCACACTTTCCTGGCCAGCTCCTGGGCCACCTCTGCTTTCTTGGATCCTTCCCACAGTTCCCTGCACCAAGTCCTCAGTCTTCCCACAGGAGGCACAGAGAAGCATGCAAGCCTTGCAGCAGTGCGCCTGGGGCTCCAAGAGCCAACTCTTTTCTTCCTTCCTTCCTCTCTTCTCCCCTCTTCTCCTCTCTCCCTCTCTCATCTTTATTTTTTTCCTACTTCCTTTTTCCCTTTTCTTTCTTTTCCTGCCTTCCTCCCTCCCTTCCCTCTTTCCTTCCTCTCTCTCTCTCCACTTTCTTCTCTCTTCTTATTCTTTCTCCTCTTTCCCTCTCTCATCTTTCTTTCTTGTGGTCTCACTCTGTTGCCCAGCCTAGAATGAGTAGCTCTATCACAGCTCACTGCAGCCTCCCCTTCCCAGGCTCAAGGGATCCTCCCACCTCAGCCTCCTGAGCAGCTGAAACTACAGGTGCACACCACCACGCCTTGCTAATTTTTGTAGAGATGGGGGTCTCCCTATGTTGCCCCGGCTGGTCTCAAACTCCTGGCCTCAAGCGACCCTCCCATCTTGACCTCCAAAAGTGCTGGGATTATAGGTGTGAGCCACCGTGCCTAGCCTGAGAACCAATTGGGGAATAGTTGGTCCTGTCCTCAGAGCCTCAAAACAAATAGAAGGGACAAGACCAAGAAGCATCCAAGGATGAGGTCGGAGTTCATCATGCAGGCACTGAAGTCACCCCATGGTCTAGCCCCCTGTCACTGGTCAGCTACGACACTACCCTGTCTTTTTTTTTTTTTTTTTTGAGACGGAGTCTCACTCTGTCCCCCAGGCTGGAGTGCAGTGGCCGGATCTCAGCTCACTGCAAGCTCCGCCTCCCGGGTTTACGCTATTCTCCTGCCTCAGCCTCCGAGTAACTGGGACTACAGGCGCCCGCCACCTCGCCCAGCTAGTTTTTTGTATTTTTTAGTAGAGATGGGGTTTCACCATGTTAGCCAGGATGGTCTTGATCTCCTGACCTCGTGATCCGCCTGTCTCGGCCTCCCAAAGTGCTGGCATTACAGGCTTGAGCCACCGCGCCCGGCCTACCTTGTCTTGAAGGCAGTTGATGAGTACCTGCCTTGCACTCTCTCCTGCACCCTGACTACCTTGTGTATGGATGGGCAGAGAGGTCACCTCTATTTTACAGGAGGGTAAACTGAGGCCACAACATCACACAGGTCCCTCCACTAGACTTTCAGCCCCCACACTCAGTGCTTCCAAACTGTTTCCACAAATCTTGCTCTTTGTGCCTCCTGTGTGCTGCTGCCATCCAAATGTGTCCACCCCTCTACATCTGAGCGACATGCCAGCCCAGAGCCCGTTCTGCCTGCTCTCTTGAACGCTGGATGGACTGACTGGCTGATTCCTGCGCACAGTTCCCTCTCTTGTTTTGCCGAGGCAGACCTCCAGGAAAAGAAGCACGGGAGGGATCAGTCCCCACCCAGTGTGGCTGGGGGGGCCTCCCCCCAAGTCCTGCCCAAGAGGAGCCCCCTCACCTCCCGGCTGCGGGGCAGCTCCACATGTTCCAGGAGGGAATAAGTGAAGTGGGGCTCATAGATCATGAGGTCGGGCCGCTCGATGTCCAGGATGGCCTTGTCCTTGGGGATGGCAGCCAGGTCCTTGTAGCCCAGCACCTGATTGTCCATCTTGGCCTGAAGGGAAAGGTGCACGTGAAACAGCTGTGCTGAAAGCCTGGCCTAGGACACTGGCCCTGCTTGCTAGACTTACGTTAATTACCAAGAAAACAGACTGCCGTTGCAGACGTTAACAATTCTATTATTTTAAGAAATTAGTCACCTTAAAACATGATAGTCCTTTGACTAGCACTTGGGGTGTAACGAGGCCAGACCAGTGGAAGGGGTATACGGGAGCTTCTCTGGGTTTCTGGGTTCTCTCTGCCCGCCAGCACCGGCGGGACCACCACTGGGGAGGCTCCGCGGGAAGCTCCCCTAGCAGCCAGGGGTCTTCCCCCCTCCCCCCTCCCAGCCAGGAGGTGCTGGTGGCCGAGAGGGGTACTCACCACAATGCTGGAGGGAGAGCCAGGCACACTGGAATCTCGGGAGGGGCTCACGCTCCCGGGGGAGGTAAGTGGTTGCTGGGGAGAGCGAGAAGGCGGGCGGGTGGGCAAGTGCGTGTGTGCGGGAGCGGGGCGGGGGCGGCCCTAGGCCTGGGGGACCCGGGGCGCTGCGCGGCGCTGCGCGGCTGGTGGCCACCAGGTGGCGCCCTGGACTCCCGAGCGACCCCCACCCGCCCTCCGCGCCCCCGGCCCGGGGCGGCGCCGCGCACCTTCTGCAGCCGTTCCATGCAGCACGGAGCTCGCCGGCCAGGTCACTCGCAGAGCCCTGTGCGCGAGGGGAGAGGACAGCGTGTCAGGCTCCGCGCGGCTGCTGGGCGCTGCGCGCTTGGGGCCGCGAAAGCAGCCGGCGCGTCCCCCCGGGCTGGCGCGTCCTCATCCCTCGGCGGTGACTCTCCAGGCTGCAGGGAGAAGGGAGGGAGGCCGCGCCGGGGCGGCGTTAGGCTGCGGGACCTCCGCGGTCGGCAGCTCTCCAGGCAGCCGGGCCCCGTGCGGCTCAGGCTTCCCATCCGCTCAGCCCCGGAGAACGCGCGCGTGGACGGGAGGCGACCGAGGGACGGGCTGCGCTTGTTTTTGAGCCATTGTTTTCTGGTTCCAAAGGAAATGACGGCAGGGGTCAGCCTGCCGCCCGGGCGGAGGCCTCCACGGCCTGGCTCCGCCGCACCTGCCCTCCCCGCCCCGGCCTGGCCTGTGGCCCCGGCTCAGGCCCTTCCCTCCCGGCCGCTGGTCCCACTCCCGCTCGGGACACTGTCCCCGCCGCCACCTCCCGGCGCTCGCCCAGGAAGGGTTAACAGAGAGGGTACCATGAGCAGCCCGGCTTCAGCATCCCTCATCCAAAACCTGACATCCGCACTCCGAAACTTTGTGAGTGTCTACCATGACGCACAAGTGGAAATTCCACACGTCAGAACTTCACACAAACTTTGTTTCATGGACAAAATTATTTTTAAAACACTGCATAGATCGAGCATAAGTGGCTCATGCCAGCAATCCCAGCACTTTGCGGGGCTGAGGCAGGAGGATCGCTTGAACCTAGGCGTTCCAGACCAGGCTGGACAACATAGCGAAACCCTGTCTTTACGAAGAAAATTAGCCAGGCGTGGTGCTGGATGCCTGTAGTCCCAGCTACTCGGGAGGCTGAGGTGGGAGAATCACTTGAGCCCAGAAGATCGAGGCTGCAGTGAGCCGAGTTCGTACCACTGCACTCCAGCCTGGGTGGCAGAGTAAGACCCTGCCTCGTTAAAAAAAAAAAAAAAAAAAAAAAAAAAAAAAGTCTTGCTTTGTTGCCCAGGCTGGAGTGCAGTGGTGCCATCTCGGTTCACTGCAACCTCCGCCTCCCAGGTTCAAGCGATTCTCCTGTCTCAGCCTCCAGAGTAGCTGGGATTACAGGCGTGTGCCACCACGCCTGGCTAATTTTTGTATTTTTGGTAGCGATAGGGTTTCACCATGTTGGTCAGGCTGGTCTTGAAACCCTGACCTCAAGTGATCCACCTGCCTTGGCCTCCCAAAATGCTGGGATTACACGTGTGAGCCACTGTGCCCAGCCCCACCTTCCTGCTTTTGACACTTTCCACTGCTTTGTCCACCTCTCTGCCTCCCAGGTGCCTCCAGCCTTCCAGGGCCATCCCAAAGCCGCTCCTCTGGGAGGCCTCCTGTACTAGTCTAGTCCTCATGGATCAACCCTTCTCTGAATCCCAGTGGGACTTAAAAACAGACCAGTGTAGCTAAGCACTTGATTACAGGGAACATGTTTTCTCCCTAACTAGACAGATTGCTAATTGCAGGAGGATGAAAACAACAATAAGAGCTATGTGGGAGGCCAAGGAGAGAGGATGGCTTGAGGCCAGGAGTTCCAGGCCAGCCTGGGCAACATAGGGAGACCTCGTCTCTAACAAAAATTTAAAAATTAGCCAGATGTCGTGATGTGCACCTATAGTTAGCTCAGCTACTCTGGAGGCTGAGGTGGGAGGACTGCTTGAGCCCAGGATGTGAAGGCTGCAGTGAGCTGTGATCACGCCACTGTATTCCAGCTTAGGTGGCAGAGCAAAGAGCTGTCATTTATTCAGTGCTCACTCTGCGCTAGGTACTTTGAGAAGCCCTTTACAAGGATTATTTTGTTTCATTGCCACAACAGCCCTATAAGGTAGACCCATTTACAGATAAGGAAATGGGCTCAGAGAGGTTAAAATTGGTCCAGAGCCGTGGAGTTGAAAATGACTGTGTCTTCAGCACGATTCACAGTGCCTAGCTAGTCCTCAGTATCAGGTGAGAGTGAGGAAAGCTAGAATCTGCCAGATTTCTCAAGTCTGTTTGGGATTCTAGAACCATGGCATCTCCAAAACAAGACTATAGTAGGCCGGGCACAGTGGCTCACGCCTGTAATCCCAGCACTTTGGGAGGCCAAGGCGGGTGGATCACGAGGTCAGGAGAATGAGACCGTCCTGGCTAACAGAGTGAAATCCTATCTCACTAAAAATACAAGAAATTAGCCGGGCGTGGTGGTGGGCGCCTGTAGTCCCAGCTACTTGGGAGGCTGAGGCAGGAGAATGGTGTGAACCCGGGAGGCGGAGCTTGCAGTGAGCCGAGATCGTGCCACTGCACTCCAGCCTGGGCGACAGAGTGAGACTCCATCTCAAAAAAAAAAGAAAAAAAAAAGACTCTGGCCATCAGAGTCACACAAGGTGTTGGTGCGCATGGAAAGACTCTGTTCTGGAACTTTATACTCCTCTTGCCTTCTTAGTACTTGCTTTGTAATGCTTTTAATTAAGCAAAAAGAAGAATAAATTCTGGTACATACTTGAAGAGCTGTTAGCTCTCTCTCCTCTCTTATTTTTACTTTGTTTATAGCTAGTATCAAACTAGCTATACACTTGAGTTAGCCCTAGGGGCAAATGCTTATCCATGCATGCATGCATCTGTTCATCCATCTATCCATCCCTACATCCACCCATCCATCCATCCATCCATCCATCCATCCATCTCTGCATCCATCCATCCATCTGTCCACCCATCCCTGCATCCCTGCATCCATCCATCCATCCATCCATCCATCCATCCATCCATCCATCCATCCCTGCATCCCTTTATCCATTCATCCATCCATCCATCCATCTCTGAATCCATACATCCATCCACTTAGTCATGTACTGTTTTATTCATCCATTCAACAAATACTTTCTGAACACCTATTCTGCAATGAACACAAAGCAGGACTCTGCAGTAAGTCTTATGGAGAACAGAAAGATGAGTCAGAGGAGCTAAGCTGCCTCTCCAGAAATAAGGCATGCATCTAGATAACTCCCATGAAAAGTAGAAAACTACATGTACCAGATAACATAGTATAAAGCACTATGAAAAGTCACAGAAGAGATTCCTCCTGCTGGAATGTCAAGAGAGGGGAAAGGGTTTATTGGAGGAAGAGGTATTTGAGGTAGGCCTCGAAAGATGCCCAGTTTGAGATCATGCAAAAATGGAAAAAGGGCCTCCTGACAGAGAAAGCAGCCTAAGGTGGGGACATGGGGATGTACTGGGCCTGCGTGGAGAACAGCAAATATGGCTGGATTGGAGAACTCATGAGGTTGAGATGCATTTGGGACAGGAGGTCGAGGCCAGATTGTGGAGGCCCTGAATCCAACCTAGGGTTAGGTCGTAATCTGTTGGCAACAGAGGGGCACAGAAGGCTCAAAAACTTTGTTTAAGCAAAGAAGTGACACAACTCAAGCAGTGTTTTGGGAAAATGAATCTGGTGGCAGCCTGACAGCCAGATTGGACAGGCAGAGCCGATCCATGTTCACGGGGAGACCTGTCCGGAAGCTGCAGCAGTAGTTCAGCAGGGCACTGTGAAGATCTAGACTTGGACAGGAAGGAGAGAGGGCAAATTGGAGAAACCCTAGAGGCAGAATGTGCAAAGCAGGACTGGATCTGGGGCACCCATGGCGGAGGCTGCAAGTCTGAGAAACTGGGAGAAGGAGAAAGGAGGAAGTCACTTTGACAGGTGAAGGTTGTGGTGGGTGCAGCAGGGGAACAGGTAGGAATGTCCAGGAGGAAAGGAACCTACAGAAGAGGACAGGCTGGAACCAGAGATGTGGGAGCCATTTGCCTAGAGGTCATAGTCCGAACACGAGATTGCCAAAGGAGAAAGAAGGTCAAAAACAGCATCCTGGGAACCTGGGGGACTGAAAAGAAATAGCCAGAGATGGCACAGTCAGAAAGAGAGAGGAAAACTAGATGGCAGCTCCCAGGGGCCTGGGAGTCTCTAGTGGGTCTTTGTGTTTTCAGCAAAGGGTCTGATACACAGTAAATGTGCAAAACATATTGAGAGAGAGAATGAGAGGGAGGGAGGGATAGAGGGAGGGGTGAGAGAGTAGAACATCATGGAAGCCATGTGTCACCGTGGAGAAGGTGAGAGAAGTGCTTTTCCTCCAGCTTGAATGTCAGGGCCATAGTGGCCTCCTGGTTAGGGACTGGGGGGTGATGAGGGTGCTGGCGAGGTGGTACAGCCATGGGGAGTGGCCCTTCCAAGAAGTGTGATAGAAGGGCAGGGTCATTTTGGAGGAGGCAAGATTGGCCTAAGGCCTTTAATGTGTTTTTGCAGACAGCAGAGAGGGAACAGTAGACAGGAAAGACTGAGGCTGCAGGGGGCAGTGGGCACTAGGTGGGCGGAGCAAGATGGCAGCAGGAGGGAAGGGATCAAGTTCATGGCCAAGTACAAGACTGGCTCTGGGAAGAAAGGTTTCCTGGAAACAAAGATAAGCTGGGCAGTGGCTCATGCCTATAACCCCAACACTTCGGGATGCAGAGGTGGAAGAATCACTTGAGCCCAGGAATTCGACACCAGCATGGGCAACATAGAGAGACCCTATCTCTACAAAAGAATTTTTTTTTTAATTAGTTGGGTGTCGTGAAGTACGCCTATAGTCCCAGCTACTTGGAGGCTGAGGCAGGAGGATGGGTTGAGCCCGGGAGGTCAAGGCTGCGGTGAGCTATGATCGTGTCACTGTGCTCCCTGGAAAGGAGAGGACAGGGAAAGAAGTTGGGTAACAACCATACAGGGCTTCCATTTTCCCAGCAAAAGTGAGAGATGGTGGCCAGGTGCAGAGGCTTATGCCTGTAATCCCAACACTTTGGGGGCCAAGGCAGGAGGATCGCTTGAGGCCAGGAGTTTGAGGTCAGCCTGGGAAATATAGTGAGCCCTGTCTTTATTTTTTTAAAAAATGAAGAATTATCGGGGCATGGTGGTTGCACATCGGTGGTCCCGGCTACTTGGGAGGCTGAGGCAGGAGGATCACTTGAACCCAGAGGCTTGAGGCTGTAGTGGGCTATGATTACACCACTGCACTCCAGCCTGGGCAACAGAGTGAGACTCTGTCTCAAAAAAAAAAAAAAAAAAAAAAAAAGAGAG